GAGATCTGATTTGATTGAGAAATGGATTTGATTATGATTTGACTGATAAATTGATTTGATTATAATTTGACTGATATATCTGATTTGGTTATGATTTGACCAAGAAATAGATTTAATTATAATTTTACTGATATATCTGATTTGAATATGATTTGAATAAGAAATTGATTTCATTATAATTTGACTAATATATCTGATTTGATTAGGATTTGAATGAGATGGAGATTAGGATTTAATTGAGACTGAAATTAGGATTTGACTGATAAATTTAATTTTATTATAATTTGACAGAGAGATATGATTCTGGTTTGACTGAGTCAAATGATTTTTCGTTTATGTATTGATCACAATGTTACAGCAGGAAATTTTAAAGATGAACACATATATTAAAATATGAACGAAATGCAAAAGTTCTTCAAAACGTATTTACTTTTCGTTTTTAAGTAATCTTGCAATTGTTTTGAAAAAGAAAATGATTGCCATTTTTTACTATTTGTAAATTTGATGGAAGTTCTCGATATTTGGGCCACGGAAGGCAATCTAGCAGAACAGACGGCCAGACGTTGTCACTTTTTTAAATAATCAGAATAAAAATCTGTATATTTCGAAATTTAAGTGTTGTACAAGTTTTATTAATATGTGCTTTTTATACTGAAAAAATAGATGATGGATAGGAAGATATATTAAAAGGAATATAACCATATTTTTAACTAGTTAATTAACTATATTTTAAACTATTAGTTGAACTATATTTTTAAAGCTTGATACATATATTATCAAAACTAAAAAGAATAAGTAAAAGATTAACATAAACTGTAAAATAAATAATAATATATATATTTATGAATTTAATTGCTGCTATGTTGTAAAAGTCTTATTATTTAGGGAAAATTGAAAAATAAGAAGTTGCGATTAAGTTTGGATAAGTTTTATTATGAAAACATCCTACGTATATTTTCTGAAAGTAATTAATTAAACATTTTTTCAAAATCATCAATAAAATTTGATTTTAAAATAATGACCCCAATTCATAATGACAATTGTTATGAATTTAAGTGTTGTATAATTATGTGCGTTATATATTGAAAAAAAATGGAAGACGTATATTTTGACGTATATCAATTCTAATACTCTAATTTGATTTTAAAATAATCTGTATATTTATGAATTTAATAGTTGTATAAGTCTTATTATTTAAGTATTCAGGGAAGAAGAACTAGTGTTGTAGTTAGGATAAGTTTTATAATGAAAAATCCAACGTGTATTTTTTGAAAGCTTTTTATCGGATATTTTTTTTCAAAATCGTCATTGGATTAATATGGATAAATATTATAACCATAATTTAACTAGTTACTTAACTATATTTTAACTATTAGTTCAACTATATTTTTAAAGCTTGATACATATATTATCAAGATTAAATAGAATAAGTAAGAGATTAACATCAGTCCTAATATTCTAATTTGATTTTAAAATAATAATTTAAATAATAAATAAATGAATTGTATAAATATTATTATGAAAATATCTTAAGTATATTTTCTGAAAGCATTTAAAAGGACATTTTTTCGAAAGCACCACTAAAATCTGATTTCAAAATAATCGTTATCCCAATTGATATTTTTTTATGAATTTTTGTGTTGTTATAAGTTTTATTAATATTCTATATGAAAATATTTTATCCGATATTTTTTCAAAAGCATCATTAAAATTTGGTTTTAAAATAATCGCAATCACAGTAGATATTTTTTATGAATTTTTGTGTTGTATAAGTTATATTAATATTCTATATGAAAATATTTTATCCGATATTTTTTCAAAAGCATCATTAAAATTTGGTTTTAAAATAATCGCAATCACAGTAGATATTTTTTATGAATTTTTGTGTTGTATAAGTTATATTAATATTCTATATGAAAATATTTTATCGGATATTTTTTCAAAAGCATCATTAAAATTTGATTTTAAAATAATCGCAATCACAGTAGATATTTTTTATGAATTTTTGTGTTGTATAAGTTATATTAATATTCTATATGAAAATATTTTATCCGATATTTTTTCAAAAGCATCATTAAAATTTGGTTTTAAAATAATCGCAATCGCAGTAGATATTTTTTTATGAATTTTTGTATTGTATAAGTTATATTAATATTCTATATGAAAATATTTTATCGGATATTTTTTCAATATAATCATTAAAATTTGATTTTAAAATAATCGTAATCACAAATTTTTTCTTTATGATTTTTTTGTTGCATAAGTTACATTAATATTCTATATGAAAGCATTTAATTGGACATTTTTTTCAAAAGCATTGTTAAAATTTGGTTTTAAAATAATCGCAATCACAATTTATATTTCTTGTGAATTTTTTGTGTTGTATAAGTTATATTAATATTCAATCTGAGTGCATTTAATCGGATATTTTTCAAAAGCATTATTAAAATTTGATTTTAAAATAATCGCAATCCCAGTTGATAGTTTTTTATGAATTTTTGTGTTGTACAAGTTTTATTAATATTCTTTTTATTTACTGTAAAAGAAGCAAAAAAAGTGATACAAAAATTTGTTTGAGCTAAATAATTAAAACATCCTACATATAATTTCTGAAAACATTTAATCGAATACTAACTAGACAAACTTATCAGAATTTGTAAAATTACTAGAAACACCCTGGACTATTTAAACCATGAATAAGTTTTTTATTATACTTGTATTTATTAAAATTAATTGTAATTTAAAATAAATTATTTAATTTATTTCATGAAATGAATAAAGAAAAAATCAACCATGAACCAACTTGTAAATGGAATTTAATAATAGTTCTCCGTATCATAAGACATAGGGATTTCTTCAATTGCTAAGAGAAAATCCCCGAAAGTAAATAGCATCCAGTAGAAAATCTCAGAATGTTATCTCCAGGGAGCCTTTTTCGATTTTCTTCCTCTGATGTTCAATTTGACTTCCACTTTGACAAAGTACATTACCCCAGAAACTTTTGTTCCTTCAATTTTTATGAACGGAATCAGTTTGGACATTCTTCAAAACGCAATAATACCGATGATTAAAATATCATCTGGATGAAAATAACAGAAGTATTTGAAAGATATGTAAGATTTAGTACCAGTGTTTTTCATAAATCGTTGATAAAGTTTTGATTAACTCTATTCTGGGTGAATTTTTATCAATGAATTCTGTTTTTCTAACAATATTGAGTTTAAGGTTATATAGAGAGATTAAGGTTATTCAGTCAGTAAATTAGAAGTTTAGATTCTTTAATTAACGTTATACAATTTGAGATTTTATTCTATTTAGCTTAGTTAAGAATATTGTGTTTAAATATGTTATGATCATCAACATTATTGTCGCAGCAGCCCTATGGTGGGCCACGGCCTTCTGCCTACTGGAAGATTTCGAGACGGGAGATATTTTTCTTTTTATGGGGTAGGATTGTCAGCCCTTACGCTCAACGCTCTGCTGCCATAGTAGACCGGGGCATATTGTTTAAAGTGGTTTCCGTGTCACTTCAATCATCCATGGCACAGCTGGTGCTCGAACCCGAAATCTGTGGCACTGAGAAAATAATAAATATATGTAATATAAAATTATAAATATAATAAGTATAATTAATAATTATGTGTAATATATAATAATTAAAATATAATATGATACTCTTTATCAGTCCTTGATATTGAAAGACATCAATTCAAGTTTCTGTAAAACAACATAAAGTTACGATAAATTGACTGTTGCAGGATATAAAATAACACGAATGAACTCTTGCTTGCTTTTGAATATACAAAGCAGACAAAATACTCGTTTTAATCGAGAATTTAATTATTTAACTATTAGTTTTGCACGAGTTAATTCGTAGTGTTCTGAAGTATATGTGACACAAGTATACTCACATAATAAAAATTGATGGGTTAAATCCATTATTTTATTTATAATAATTTAACAGTCATAAAGATATTAAATTTATTACTTGAATTGACATACTTCAAACAAGTACAAGTACAAGCACAATAAAATAAATGTTCTGCAGAAATAATTTCTCCAGAGCTATTTCAGAACCCAAGTACAACAAACACATACCGACATTCCCCATCGAGGGTCAACTGCATCTGCTCTTTATTTCTACATGCCTTTTATTCGTGTGATGGTCATTTAAGAACTTTCTTTCAGAAATGGTCATTCGTCCGAGTGGCACTAATATGTGCTCCCAACAATTCGATTGTCGTTAAGCTACCTCAGCACCACGCCGTTCCCATTGTGTTGCTAAGAACCCAACACGCATAGATCTACAAAGAAATAAACTCGGGAAATAAAGTAACAAATAAGATAATATTTTTGTTGTGCAGGTAAGCGAGTGTTTTTTTTTGTAGTTATTGGATGGTCATATTTTTGAAACCGTTTAGTTAACTTGAGAAATGTATTTTTGTATTTCTTTAAAAAATATATTTAATAATATATTTTTAATAAAAAATATATATAAAAAATATATTTAAAAATATATTTAATAATATATTTTTAATAAAAATATATATAAAAAATATATTTAAAAATATATTTAATAATATATTAAAAAATATATTTAAAAATATATTTAATAATATATTTAAAAAATATGTATAACAATATATTTAATAATATATTTAAAAAATATATTTTTTTTCTATAAATTGCTTTGACGAATTTTGATAATTTATGTTGTTGTTGTTGTTTCTTATCCCACTTGGCTGGCCAAGCCCACGAGCCCATATGGACTCATGATTGAAGGGGAAGGAAGCAGCTTCTGTTGTGATGGAGCACCCGTAGGTAGAAGCCTGACTTTTGCTCCGTGACGCTCTTACAGTCATAGGAGACCGGGACCTATGGCTTAAAGTGGATTCCGAACCACTACAAACATCCATGGCACCGCCGGGATTCGAACCCGAAACCTGTGGCACCGAGCGCCAGAGCGCTAGACACTCGGCCATTCAGGTCCCAAATTTGCCAACGGCACGCGGTGTTCCCAGGTGGTCACCCACCCAAGTACTGACCGCGCCCAATGATGCTTGATTTCGGTGATCTAACCGAAGTCAAGCATCATTTTGATAATTTATAGACAGATAAATTGTTTATGTTATTGTAAATCAAAAAGTAGTTTGGAATGAGTAATGCTTAACTGTTAATTATTTTATAGCTGGTTAATTATTTACTAGGTGGGCACTGGCGGCTTCAGTTGCGGTTACTACTTTCAGAAACAAAATCTTGATGTCGATTGTGGTTATATAAATAGGCTTTTCCCATCGGCACTCAGACTATCTGAGTTTTTTTCTTTTTTTTTTCCAAACGATACTCGAATGAAGAGCATCTAAAAGTCCTTCAAGAAGGCAATGTTTTCCCCGCATCATCCGTTGATGTTCTGTCCATGGTAAACTTCAGTGAAACACGAAACTTACAGATGTGTATAAAATAATAGTAATAACAATAGAGAGTTTTTGCATACAGTACGTTAGTTACCGTAGGACGTCCGTTAGCTTTTTCTCCTTAGCGCGCATGCTCATAGGAAACTGAGCATGCGCGCTAGGGAGAAAAAGCTAATGGATGTCCTACGGTAACTAACGTACGGTATGCAAAAACTCTCTAATCACGACATCCTGCAATCGTTTTTATGCGCAGTGATTATAAAAGCACATTCTCGATATATAAGCCTCTAGCCATCATAAAGTTTTTTTTTCTCTTTGTTTTTACTTTTTCCCCGAACGATAATCGAATGAAGATCACCTAAAAGTTCTTCACGAACGCAATGCTCTTCGCTCATCACCCATCGATGAAAAACCAAACAAAACAAAGTAATAATAGATAAATAAGTATCGGTAGAAACCGAACAAAATTTTGGTTTAAGGTATTTTGAGATATGTCCTCAATAATGATACGAAAAACAACAGTTAAACTCAGTTACAGTGAGAAAATTTCAAATGGTGATACCTACTTTTTTTGTTGGAATGTGATCTCCATAGTGAAAAACCATAAATAGTGTTGGAACGGTACCTATAGCACGAAAATTGCCAGCACTAGACAGCCTAGAAGAAAAGTGAAAACAACCGATAATTACAGAGAAGCAACATAAAGCAAAACGTTTTAAATTAAAACGTCTTTTTTTTTAAATTTCTTTCAGGAATATTTTACACATAATATTTATTTAAATTCTTTTCATGAGCTATTAGTTATATAGTTAAATAATGTAAGTATATCCTGAAAGATCCTCTGTCGAAACAAGCAATTTTATTTCAAAGTGAAAAAGAGAAATTTCAAGAAACGAAAGTCGGTTGGAATTCTATAGTTTTTATTTTTTTTAAGATTCCTATTTTGCATTTTCTTCTTTTTGTTTAACCTGTATATCGGCACATTCGATTTCTTTTATTTATTATTTTATATAAAAAAATTAAAGATTGATCTAGAAATCCTTAGACAGAGTTCTTTTTATGTGCAACCAGTGGCAACATTACAGGAGTATACTGTGAAATCATTTATCAAATTATTAAGTCAGACTATCTGGCAAAGTATTAAATCATTAATGAGATATGCAATGCCCTTGCAAACTGTCTATTTTAAAAAAAGATCATTTGCTGAATGTGAAAGTGAACGATTGAAGGATTACGAATAATGCTTTTCACATTCTTTTTATTAAATTTCTTAAATGAAAGATGATCTAGCATCTTTCGCAGCATAATAATATCTGACTTGGAATATTTCCGATAAATGATTCATTTTTAATTTCGTGTGTTTGAATCTGAAAATCTTCAAGAAGAAGGAATAAAAAAAAGACGATTCTTGAATGGATGGAAACTCATTTTCTCTCTGCAATCATAAAACATTGATGATTAATGAGAAAGTTGAATGAATGTCTGTCAGGATCAGAAAAATGACACGCGACTGAATGAAGAGAAAACTTTCAAATCTACATTTTTTCCTCCTCTTCGTGAAATCTAAATCGATTTATTTAGCGTTGGGGAAAAGGAATAATTTTTATTCCCCAAAACAACAGCTGTCTTCGAAATACTTGAATACAATAAAAAACGGTTTTTTGTTTGTTTGTTTGTTCCTTCTTTCTTTCTTTTAAATAAAACAAATCAAAAAATAGAATTCCGTGCTGGTTTAAAAATAATGGTGAATGAAGTCTTACACATGAAGAATACATGAAAAATCATTTAAAAATATTGAAGCGTTAAAATTTATTCTTACGAGAATAATTTCAGGTCATTGATAATTAGCTTCGTTAAAAATACATAAAATTAATTCTAAACTAGTAGGTGCTCATTATAATAAAAGAAGAATGTCTCAGAAAAGTGAAAAAAATATTTTAATTATTAAGATTATTTTTTTTTAATTCTAATGTTGTCCTTGATAAATAATTTTAAAGATTATGGAAATTTCATGGTATCGTTCATGACAATATAGAATTTTCTAAAAAATTATGATGATTATAATAAAATTTTAAATGATGATGATTACAATTTTTATCTCCTTCCCCGATATGCACCCTGTTCAGCTCTGGAGAGGCCATGGACTCCACGGATTTACTTCACTGTCCTGTTCTGAGCAAGATTTTTCTCGCCGAACGATATTGGGAGGCGAGAGATATGTTAGATTAATGAACTCTGTTGCAGCATGTTTTGTTGTTTTCTTTGTTCTTTTTTTTATGTTTCATTGTTCTGTAACTGTTCATAATCTGCCATTGGAAATAAAAAATAACACAATTTTCATCTTGGTGTTCACTTAGAATTTTATTTATTAGATTGTATTTAAATAAATTTGAAATAACCACTCACTTTCTCAAATACAGTAAACTGAAATCCAAAATGGGGAAAATTTGAAAACAAAACCCTAAATTTTCCTTTATTTTAATTTATAACACATTTTTGTTAAAATATATATTCATGTACTGAAAGATTTATATATTTATGTTTCAAGCAATTTAAATCAAGTACAAATTGTATGAAATTTTAGGGACTTTTCATCTATAAACAAGCATCTATAAGCAAGCATTTATAAACATTTCAGACACATATTTTCACTTTTATACTAAAAATGATTTTTGATGAGTTCTGCTAAGTACATAAATTGTGAGTTGTTTTACCAGAAATAAAATTTAAAGCAACCGTTCTTGAGAAGTTATCGAATGTCCAATTTCCGTTATCTTTTAAAATGTCTTATAATTTTTTATTTTTTTATTACAGCTTTTATTTCTCATGTATTGTTGTTTAATACTAATATTATTGTTAATAATGTTAAAATTATTTTGTTCTTAAATTATGACGTGGAGAAAGCATCTATAAACATTTCAGACATTTGTTTTTTCTTTTATGCTAAAGCCCTTTTAAAACACAAAGTGTTAATTATTTTACCAGCAATAAAATTTAAATCATTTGTTCTTGAGACATTATTGAATGTCTAACTTCTGGTATTGTATAAAATGCTTTAATTTTTTTTAATTAGTATAACGTCTTATATATTGTTTAAAATTAGCGCTGTTGTTAATAAAGTTAAAGCTATTTTGTTTTTAAATTATGCTGCAGAGAAAGCATCTATAAATATTTCATACATTTATTTTTATTTTTATGCTAAAATAATTTTTGATGTGTTCTTTTAAATGCATAAAGCATCAATTGTTTTACCAGGAATAAAATTTAAAGCAACTGTTCTTGAGAAATTATCGAATGTCTAAATTCTGGTATCTTTTAAAATGCTTTAAATTTTTATTTTATTTAATACATCGTTTATTTCTTATGACTTGTTCAATACGCTATGATTTGATGTCCTTTTATACATCAAATCAGTATACACTGAAAATTAAATTAAAATATTCTTTCCTATTTCGTGAATGAAAATATTTTACAATTTTTAATTTATTCACAAATAAGTAATAACAAGTGTAAAAACAATTAAGTGGACTATCCTCTTTTATTATACAATACGTCATTTACTTAAAAATGTCCTTTTCTTAGCCAAAACCACAGGATATTTTTGTTCAATTAATTGATAAGTATTAATTTAAAACCATCTGGGTGAATCTTTCAGCAAATAAGCCGAAGGCTATTTACTGTCTGCAGAGAGCAACGAGAGAAATGTTCCAAGTTGGGCAAATAGACGCAGATATAAAATCCAGCCAGCGAATCTGTAGGTAATTCCCTTTAACAAATACTCATTATTCTTTCAAGCAAACCAAAGCACCATCATCATAATCTTCTACCTGCAAAAGCCTGCATTCTTCATGATAAATCCTTTCGCTATTCAGTCCTTTATTTTAACCTTCAGGGCCCGAACAAGGCAGGCGCAGTAATGAACTATAAATGTAAGCGCGGTTGCAGTTAAAGTTCCTTTCTTCATCGTCTGCTAATTAAAATTCCTTTCATCGATCTTCTCCAGAGAGTGGAATTTTTATGAATCGTTCTAGAAGAGCAGTGATTGGTCGGCTCTCAAAAGAAGGAATTCGAACAATTTTACGCGAAAATTGGTTCCGACATAACTCCAGGCCTCCACCGGGCAGATGAATATTCATTGTTCTAACTCGATACTTCACATTGAAATACTGCAAAGTAGAAAGAAAAAAAAAGCAAAATGGCTGTCGGTTGTGCATTTTTACGATAATGAAACGTGGCCTCATTTTATTTTCTTTGCAGCGATTTGATTGGGTTGCACCTATCTAGATTTTATTTTGAACTGAAATTGTTAAAAGTTTTATCTGAACCGAACGCAGTGCTGCACTGGTTCCTATTGATTGCGGACTGGAATGTAGTTGTTCGCAATTCTTTACTTAATGCTCACGAACTTCAAAATTAATTTGTTGGAAAGATTCATTTCTTTTCATCATTGGTTTATAGAAAATATACATCAGTTCTTTTTGCACTGATGAGTCTGTTTATTTTTTTTTTCAGCGGTAATAAAACGGATTTTTTTTGACTTATACAAGAAGCTATTTGTATTTGAGGGTAGATTTACTTATGTCTATAACATTATGGACGTCCTAAAATAAGTTTCAAAATTGTAATGTTTTTATTCGATTTATGATTCAACTTTATAATAGCATG